AACGTGAACACAACTATTCTCGTTGATAAGTTCATGTCTCCAGACTGATCACGTGGATTAATTTAGCATTTATCTCCCTGTACTTGTACTCTTTTTAGACAATGTCTTTGTCTAATCGAATCATATATTATAAGTACGCTGTTTAATGTTTATTCTGTAGATGTGAAAACCTTATGCACCTCTAATCGGTTTATGCCAAACCCATTCCTCGAATGCAGGGCGTTCGTATTGGATCTGGTTGGCATGGAGATCTTCACCAGGGAAAGTATACATTTCATAATATCGGCGGTAGATATCGACGACTTTGGTTGGAGCTGTTTTTTTAATAAATTCCCGCGCAGCGTTGCCGAACCCGAGCATGACCCAAGTACGAAAATCTTCCGATTACAACCCATAGGATTCAACGACCCAGTTGATCCCACAGGTGGACCTGTAGATCCTACCGATGATGACGTAGTTCCGACAGATAATACTGCTACTGAAGTCTCCTCAGTCCATGTATTGAAAGATTCATTTTCACTTTTAATATGGACTTTATGTTTAGCTCTTTCAATGAAGTAACACTGTCACGCAAGGCAATACGCTTGAACATTGATATGTGAAATGTACCCAGCTGTAATAAGATACCCCTCGTCCCTGCATTTGATGCGTTACTTATATAAGTTACACAAAATAACATTGACATAGAGAGTACACTGAAAAACATCAAACGATGTGAATTCTCCAAATTGTGTTTATCAAAATGTGCCCTCATGAACAGTCTAGTTTCACCAACCAACACCAACCAACCGTCGATGATTGTTTGTACGTACCTTTTAGTAAAATACCTTCTTGTCATATTCTTGAAATTTGTTTGATACATTTCTCCATGAAGTGTTCTAGCTCTTCCTTACTTCTTATAGGATAACTATTTTTCGGCAAGCACACCGATGTTTTATTTCAATGAATTTGCAATATTTGTGAAAGCTGTTTGTGCTGATTTCGATGTTCAATGTCACGCTTACTGTATGGACGCATGGTAGCCATTTTTACCTCGCTTTTGAAAGAAATAATAACTCAACATATCACAAATGTTATATTACGCATGTCTTCAGTTTCTAAAAGTATATGCACACGTTAATATGTACTTGGAATTAGTTGTACGTATTAGTAATTCAAAACGCATGCGCAAAAACATACTTTGGAAACAAACTGAACATTCTGTTTATAACCTACTTTGAACACTACTACGAAACAGACTTTTCGTTTTCTTACAACAGCTGTTAAAAATACTACATGTACATAGTTTTTAATTCAATTATTCTTGCTTCCGTCATACAAATTATGTTGTTATTTTTTCTGAAATATTGCGTAATAATTATTTATGAAAATGCTCACTGATGTGCATAAGAAATACATTTCTTGATGAATTATTTTTGATGTCTTTAATTTCTGAATTCTCTTTTCAAAATCATTTGTTTTCAGCCGCCCCCCCCCCCAAATAATTTCACAATGTCGAAAACGGAATGTCTTTATCGTAGTGTTTGTAACAGACAATTGGTTCATGAAGAAATTACATTTAGAATTTCATTTTCACGGCGTCAATATAATTGTTACAGTCCTGTTAATATGGCATTGGGCCAGGCTATAAGGTCACAATAAGGTTAAAAAATAACACTTGTTTAAGATGAATTTGATTACAATATAAAAAGACTGGCTGATTGCATCCATATATGACGTCATATTTATATGTAAAAACCTGAAAACATAAACTTTCGGTTCTTGCATAGATTTTGATGTCGGGAACATTGGACCCCGACTGATGGTAATATGGCTGTACAATGCCCCTCGATACCGATAAACAAGATCCATAAGGTAGTTTAATTGTTGGCGTACAATACAGCATAGAAAACTACTGGTACTGGGTTACCACTACTTCGCATTGTAGTGTTTGAACAAAAGTGTTTCGTGAGGGGTGGTGTATGTAAGGAGACGCTGTCAGCAGATACAACAACAAGTACTTTTATTTTATGTAAATTTGTTTTCTACGTGCTTGTTTGATATGAATTAAACTATATATCACTTGTTTAAGTTTAAGTCTTCTTTAAGTAGATATATGTATTGGTTCGTATTTATGGTCCCAATAAAACTGATATTTACATTTCGTGACTCGACCTATAAAACAAGTGTCAATGGCACACTAATAACAAGTTCAAGTTGAGATACACTTGTACCTATGTATTGCAGAGAATCAGGGCAGCTTGACCCTTTTATATCTGACGGCTTTTGCAAATAAAATAGAAGCATTAAACCATTTATTTAAACAGATGAATATTATGTCAATTGTATTGTTATTTTATCGGGGCAATAACAACTAAAGACTGGCCTTCGTAACGGCTGTTGAATGCTCCCTAATGTACGCGAACATTTTCAGGACACATCTAGCCTGAACTCTGATCCTGTAGTTGACCTTTGTGTCGGACACCCTCAACATTGTTAGGTAGATTCCAATGTTTGTCAATTCGATGTGTTGATTAAATTAGGTAGCGTTGAGAGACATTGTACCTGTGTGGCTTTATTGAATCACATCATTATGCACGTAATTCACCTATTAGTTCGAAATAATCAAACCAATTATTTTATTCCTACTAATAGTTGTTTCTTGTATATTTCAACACATTTGATCGAAAACCTGGTTTCACTCATCGTCGCCTTTATTAATGCAATAAAGCAGGCATCAACTATCTTATTTGTATGAAATAAATTGAAAATCTCGTGATCATTTTATAACCAATAAATCGATAAAATATCTCTCTAGAGTATAAAACTACGAACCGGCGTAGGATTAACATCACTGGCGGAAACATCATTGATCTCGCTCAACCATCCCACGATGATCTCTTTCAAATACGTTGTTTTTCTTTCGTGCTGTATATCAGTGCAGTGTGACGGTAAGTATAATTCACTCTCGCGTGTAGTAAGAACTACATACATTTTGCAAAAAATTGCTGCAATCCTTTAAAAAAATAGTACTACTACATCAACCTTACCAAGTGACTCGGTCACAAATTCTGGTCGAGATTTAGTTCTTACAAAATTGTCCACTCATATATTTATGTTACATCTTACATGCTAAAACTAGAATAACAATTGTCGATACCGCCGCGACTTCTGACACACCATCATGACAGATTGCATTTAAATTTCATTTATTGAAATAATAATGAACGACTATTTAATATCTTCTAGAATCCTCGCGTTATGACCAGCTGACGGATGCCAAGCAAGTAAAAGAAGCTCTGGTTGATGGATACCCAGTCAAATTTTTTGTCGATTTTGAGAAATGTGAAACGACGAAAATACCTATTGCAATTCCCGAGGTGGACCTGCAGGTAGGTGGAATTGGTCAACAGCAAATCGCCGATAAATCATGCGGAATGGTGTAAAATATTATTTCTTCTGAAGAAATTATTCATTTTCATTTTCATGGTAGAGCTATAATTTTATTCAAAAAAATATAATTATTGTTTTCACTCTTACAGCCACCTTCACAGTACGGCTCGATTATCACGGAATTCCGCGCGACACAAGACGTAACTGGGGAACCAGTCGACATGCGATTCACTACAACAAATATCATGCAATTTCCTGGCGTATTAGGTAATTATTGATATCACAATTTATACCAAATATGTAAAAATATGTAACACTACTTCAAAAACTGTGGATGTTATTTTGCACATTGGTGTGTAGTATGAACCAACGATATTCTCGATAAATTAACGGTTAGACAACACACTGAGATAACAGTGCTACCCCTGCAATTGGTCCACTTAAATACTGAATGGTGACATTGTAAGCCTGTTTTCAGATGTTGTCCTGGGACGTCGACTTTCAAACGATCCGCATCAAGGGTACACGTGATATAGTTAATTGCTTTGTTAAATGTTCACCATTGTCTTATATGTTATTATTTCAGAGCATATATACGTGCACACCGAGGTTGTGCTATACCCAACTGGCAACGTCACCGTCAATACCCATTATATCCAACGTAAGGGACTCGTCAATGCTGGAACATCTGAGAACGACTGTCTGCTGAATGACGGTACCAACGACGAGGGCGCCTTCTTTTACAAGTCGACTTTGTATGAACCTGTTGCTATGACAACCTATGATGAAATCGAGTCAGCGCTGGTTGATGGATACAGTGTACGGTATGGTGTGGTGTTCACGCGTTGTGGGGATTTTGGTGGTAGCTCAGATATGTTGGGTGCAGGGGACATGCCACAATATTACATTACAAGAGGTTAGTGTACTCGTTTTGAAACACGATCATGGATTCGATCGCTTAGGGACAATCCAGGCATATTTTGTTTTTGATTGTTATTGTTTGTGGGAAGTTATTCTAAAACATAAATCCTATATGACTTGGTCTTCCAACACATCAGAATATGTGGGCAAACTCAAAACATCCACTGAGGAGACACTCCGGGTCTGTATAAAGGCCTGCAACCGCATTTGGGCGAAGATAACTGTATTTTGGTTGTATTTGTTAGCCAATTCAGACAAAATATTAATGTAGACAAATGTTATTACAGAAACATTTTCCCTTCTTTCCTTCGCGATGCTTTTCACCACCGGACTTTCTCATCTAAATTTGCCTGCGCCTTTTTCTTATATACTTCAATATTTCTGGAAATGAACCCTAATTTTGAAGCCAACAAACAAAATTTGAGTCAATTTTCAGTTCTTACTGAAAATATTGTCTATTTTGGTCCCACTCTCTGAAAGAAAGTGCAGACTTTAAGCGGGATTATTTTGTGAATGTGTTATGAAAGGAGGGAATTAGTGAGGAAAACGTTAAGTCCTGATAACTCACTACTATCGCCATACTATATGTTGTTTACTAGGTGAGCAAATTTCCACTGCTACTAGAAGGTTTGCCGCCAATCCAACTTTAAATGGTGAATTTGTATTAGACACATTCAGAGTAGACATCTTCAAAAATGCTACAGTGAAACTGTCAGTGGCGTCCTTAGATTTTGATGATTTCTCGAGTGTCAGGGATGAAGAGGTGCTGTGCAGCCTCGAAGACCCAGCTAGTGATCCACCAGCCTCGATATTCAAACTTGTTCCACGCGTTGATGAGCAGTCCACAGCTCCTGGTATATTGGTCACATTTTCTTTTATTCAATTTTAATTACAATACACTTTGTAAATCTTTGCAGGGATATGATTCAAAATGGCTTTCTCGTTTGTCTAACTGTGTCATTCTGAACTAAATACGTTATATGACGTTTCCAAATGTTAACTATGCAGAACAAAAACAAAAACTCTAACTTATGAAAAGTCATAATCACATATAGTTATTGTAGCTGACAATGTTTTGTTACGTGTATACAATCGCTAAGACGTCTATCAAACTATAAAATCAGGTGTTTTTGTCAAAAGGTACAGGAACTGATGCTAAAACAGATGCATTGGCGATACTGGTGACTTTGAATGCCTCGATGTCAATAACATAATTACACAATTACTCCTTTTATATGATAGTTATTGTCAAAACATTTGACGTCCCTGCCTATTCTACATTCCTTTCGGTCCATAATTCCACACGAATTAGATCATATACTGACCATATGATGTGTGTCACTAAGTTCCCCTTAGTTTACGTAATTAGTAAATTTTGATTAGGCATGTTACTGTATCCCTCAAAGATAAATTGTGTATTTATATATTGTTCTACCTAAATAATACATAAATAATAGAGGTATCAACAAGTGTATTCATTTTGATCTATATTATATAACACACGCGGTATTTTTATTCTGACATAGACTCACCGTACCTTAGTCAGTTGGTGACTTCGACGCAAATTGGGGAAGCATTGAGTGAAGGTTATCCGATGCAGTTCTTTGTCAATTTTGAAAATTGTGATAGGGATTTGGTAGTTACACCACCGGAGATAAGCTTGGAGGTGAGTATGAGCACGAATCTTCATGACCGGAAGCTCGCCTAATTGTAATTACCATTCTCGTTCCAAATGTCTTTATAGCACACTGAGATGTAATATATCGCACACCATGAGTTCATACAGTTCACATTGAAATGCCATTCTCGATTATGATATATTTGATTTGTGGGAATATACTTCTACTTCTGTATAGGAACCAACGGACTTTGGAACAATTATAGATGAATTCCGTGGTACCCGAGACGTCACGGGAATGGCGGTACAGCTACAATTCACTGCAACAAAAGTCGCTAAATTCAGAGGCGTTGATGGTATGTATGCTTTTCTTAAATTAAATAATACAAGTTATTAGGATCAAGCTTTCAATTTACACAATTAAAACAATTGCCCAAGTCAAAAATACTATTTCATTGTCTACTGAAGATAAAATAAAACTAGTTGGTTTGCATTATAGACGTACAATTACATTCCTATATTTCCCATAAACTTACAATAATATGAATTTAAATATATATTCAATTGTTTCTCCACAGACCCCGTGATCGTTCATGTTAGTGTGGTGACCAACCCATCAGGAGCAGTGAGCGTAGCGGTCCATTATATTTCACAGGCCAACTATACATCGTTCGGAGTGTCCAACAACATTTGCCAACTGAATGATGGAACGAGCGGTGGTGGTGGTGCTTTCTTCTATAGGTCGACTCTGTACGAGCCTGAGCCGTTGCAATCATTCAAAAATATACAGACAGCTGTGACTGACCAATATAATGTCCGTTACGGTGGTTCGTTTAGTCGATGCGATGAGGTGTTTAGTGGTGCTGAAACCCTTAGCTCAGGATTCATGAAAGTGTTCTATATTCTCAAAGGTAAGTGCAATATATTGTTTAGCGTTATATAGATGGGAAATATGCGCGGAAAACAAGAATAAGAACAACAATAATACTTCTACTATAATTATAATTTACCCTGCTCTAAAATAAACAGATTCATCGACTAACTATAAACATGTTTCTGTTTTTCAGACCAAAGGATCACTGCATCAATCAACAAGCTGTATCAGAATCCATATTACAATGGTGGCTACGTACAGGACGTATTCCGTGGTGATATATTCAGCAATGACACCATGCATGCCTCACTACAAACTTTAGACATTGACAACTTTTTTCAACGTATCACTGATGTGAATGTAGAATGTCCCATCAACGACCCGCCTAACGATCCACCCACAAAAATATTTCAAATGGTCCCCCGTAAAAACGCGCTGCAGACAACTGCCGGCGCTGTGACTGTGACTGTGACTGAGACAGCCGGAACAACAAAGCAGCCCAAAACTGAAACATCTCGGAGTTCTTTGACGAAGTCATCTTTCATAGTCACATCCATTGTTTTGTTAGTATTCTTTTTCTAAACTTGGGTAAAACGCTAATTATTGCCGGGTGCTGAAATTTACTAACAAGTACATTGAATGTATAATAGTAGAATATCCCAGGAAACAGGGCTGGTTCAGATATACTGTTATTGTTTGCTTTGTTTTAATGATAATGTATGAGTAGATATCCGGTTTGCGTTAGTTTAGTTAACAGTGACAGTGCAATGCATCATATGAGTTAGGTCACAGTGTATTGCTTTATTAAGGTGGCAACAAGAGAGAAACTATTTATCTGTGATTCAGACACTCTCTATAAGTTACTAAGCATACTACCATAACAATCTACGGTGCTTTCAAGAAAAGCACAATAGCGCAATTGACCGCCAGGTAATCCCTTAGACAAACATGCACATAGGCAAACATATTCGCCTATATCTAAGCTTTCAGGTGTACGTTGAAATAGTAGCAGGTTTGGTAAGTTTTAGAGAATTTCTGAATCACAGAATAATTTACTTTTTACTCGTTGCACCCCATGTTGCTACTTTAGTAAGTAACCAATCAATAATTTCGCCATGTGTTCTTCAATTGTAGTTCAACGTGCAATTGGTTTACATCATTGTCATCACTTCAAAGTGGTATATCCTTAGCAGTTAACTCTTTTCCACCAACAACAAAAACGCCCCCATGGTGATGTGTTTATCTGAGAACAGAGCCGAATGACACAACACAACAAATCATCGTCGCAAATGTAAAAATAACTGTTTTCAGTCAAAAGTAGCGCCCGGTACAGTTACAAAAGTTGTACATTGAATTCAGTTGTGTTATGACGTTCCAAAATAAGGGAGCCGAGCACTTTAGCATTATGATTAAATACTTCATGTGCCGCAAATGACGAAAAACTTAAAGGGCGGCAGTCGTCGCGCTGCGCATATGCGACATTTGTGTTGAATAACAGATAAACATTGATTGTCATAATCCAATGCGCTCTTCTAATTGAAATCACAAGTATGAGGTTTGACCTGGGCGCGACTTGCACTAATTATCACCGGTGACTCCTTTGATAACTTCCAATCACCCTTCAAAAATACTTAATTAATGCTCAGTTAGGACTCGTTGATCTGCTCAACAGTCGCCATCTTTCTTCATATATCTCGACCTATATATCTCGCGCCTGCGTGGCGCGACTACTACCGCCCTTCAACATTTTCCGATAGCATTCAACGGCGAATATTTTTGTGCATATTGTTAACTGAATAATGTAAAATAATGTATACAAGTTTTCCGGTGAGCGTTCTTTAAATGTCCGGTTTAAAATAAATGACGAAAACAATAAAGTTTTCTGAAACGCATAAAAGTTTAAAATATGTTTGAGATTTGTGTTTTATTTCCCAAGGTGTAAAATTAATCGGGAATTTGGGTTTAGAAGCTGTAATGTGACGGGTCTAGGTCGCTATGTATGTTAGGTGTCGATAAAAGGCATGAAATGATACATATTTTTTTAAAAAACGATGAATACCAACGGTCCACAATTAGACGGAGTATGCTAATCTAATTCATTTTGAATTCATAATATCAGTTATGAATCAGTTAATTTTGAGAAATTACTCGTAAACTGCGTCATAAACATAACATTACGTCTTGGCTTTGATCCTATCGGACAGTTTCTGGGTCAACTTCACATATTTCTGGGGAATGAATACAACGTTCCCATTGTTACATTTGTTTCATTTCGGCTGTATATTGTGTGTATGCTGCCACCAACGGCATTTGTTTGAAACATACGCGGGATCCAAATTAACCAAGCTATGTTTTGTGTGTGGAGCATATCATATACACCCAAATAAGGTAGAGATGTAGGTTCGTGGGCACGTGGGAGTGAAATTTTTTGTTTTGCTTCTTATTATCCAAATATTCCTGGCAATAGACTGTTAAAATTTTGTAGAATTGTGAATAATGGAACATACTCAAAAAACGATTTTAAAATATAGATAACAAGTGCAAACATTCTCTCTTTTGAATGCTAAGCAAGATTTAGCAAGGCTGTACATAAATACTAAAAAAGAAACATGGTGAAAAAAAGAAATGACGGGATCTCCATATTATGCACTATATTTAACTTTTAACAAAACGATAATACATTTAAATTTGGAACTGTTACAGTCATTTTAATTATGAGTATTAGCAAACTTCTTACTGAGTGAATTGTTATGCAAATTAGCAAATATCTCAGCTTCTTTTTAGCGCACATCCCAGAACTTTAAAAAAATAGCTCCTAGACGCTTTGACCTTTTGTTTTGAAATTTTCACAAATGATTGACAATGTACTGTGTTTATCTTCAAAACGCCGTTGGGGCATTGTTTTTGGTTGAACAGTGTTACAACAATCGCACAGACAACTAGCCTGGGTGTTAATTTATGCATAAACTTGGAGTAGTGAAATTTGGGCTGCTGCCCTGCAAAATTGATAAGTAGACAGTTTTCAAGGCGGCACTTTCTTCATAGTAAACAGATGTACCCATGAACCAATTTTGACAGGAAACAGAAGCATGGTTTAGGAGCTAATTTGTTTAAATAACTTTTGACCAAACAAGCACATTTTTGTGCATATTTCAAACTACAGTGTCCATTAAAAAAATACTAACAAAATTGTTAAATTCATACAATAAGCTTTCCGAAAATATATACTTTTGTGGACAAGGGAGATCATCTTGGTTTCCTAATTAACTAATTAAAATACCTGTCAGGTAAACTGCATCTCTGCCTTAAGAGAACAATTCAGCCATTTTACAAGACCAGGTTACGACTAGAGTACAAAGTGAATTATAAATAGTTTGTTTATTTAATTCTTTAGCTGTTTATCACAGAAATGTTAACATAATAACCGCCGACAGCTACGCAAAAGGTTACCATGCAGTCAAGCCAGTCGATGATGCACATGGTTGAGTAACCCTTTTTTCCATTTTGCTGAATAAATTAAATAAAATTGCGGGTTTCATAGTCGTCATGGAAATACGCCCAATGCTATCTGTGGGATGTAAAACCAATCACTTTTGGTCCGCATACTTTCCTGACCCAGTCACAGTCAGCTGGCTCACGCGTGACAATAAAATAAATATGATATTTACTATATGGGGGCCGCCATCTTGAATGATGCTTAAGACTAAATAAGAGACAAGCTGTGAAACGCGTTTTTCAGATTCCTACAAATCAGGACAAAAATACCAATCTTTCACAAAAATACGGACCGTTGGGGTTATATTAAGCCAACCGATAACAAAATTCGGCCTAATCCGTCGTTTTTGTGTGGAAAAATCCCTTGCATACGAACACCTAATTACACGAAGAACCTAGAACACGAGAACACTGACATCAAACGAGATACTGAAAATCAGTTGACATTCGGTCGACACATTTAATTAGAAACAACATCTCGCAGGGTTACTTTTGTATGGGATCGATACTCAGGGTGTACTTAGAGGTAGGGTTATATGGCATCTGACGCTTGTGTACATGCACGCTGTGATGTTGGATCATGCGCGTGTATTGGTTCTTCTGTTAACACATATATACGACAGAATATGCTTAACCATAAAATATGTGTTTTCAAACCAAGTACCAAATGAATGAACAACGTGTGTACTTATCTTGCATTCCTATTGGCTGTGGCGTGATGAGAGAAGAGAATGGATTGGTTAAAAATACATGACAACTCAGTATACTGTGTTGGCAGTTACACCGCCGGCCCCAGCCCACCCAATTACACACACGCACACACGGTCATACATAGACATAATGTCGCCCAACTTTGAACTCATTGTACATGGATATTGGACTGTAGCTGTATAATCAGTTATTTGACTTACATGACGCACTACAGTAGTTAATACAGCTTAGCAAGTGTTACATAATTCTACTCATACAAAAACTAGACTTGGATTTGAAAATCAATAATATAAAATATAATCAATGACTATTTACTGACTTAATTTATTCAAGCAATTTTTTACAAATTTAAATGAAACAACGACCTTCAAAACGAATATGTAACTACTGTCTACGTATACATATGTTTTATAATTCCCTATTCCATGCTTATATTATTCACGTTATTCTCGCGTGACTTGGCTATGATCCGCATACTTTCTAACAATCCCCGAGTCAATACTGCATTTAACAGCGATTATCTGTCGCCGTCGAGCAGAAATTTATATTATCCTACAATACGGCCTGTAATATGATATAGCAAACAATACGTCACTCTCGGCTACACACACAAAGACGTCATACCGTATCGCTAGGTACGCCACCGTTCGCCACGGCGATAGAGAGGAACAGGTCTGCCGGGGATAGTTAACGGGGATCTGTGTTATATTGATATCTGGCTTTGCATGATACATCACATCATTTGTGCTTCGTCTACCATATTAAAAAGTACTGAAATTGCTGGTATTTTTTACTTCGATTATTATCCAGTCAAGTTCTTAGTTGAATAACGGGTGAGTTATATTGTCTGTGATTCCGTGTTTGTTTTTCATTTTAAAAAAAAAAACGTTATCTACTAAATAAAATGAAATTTGAGTCACTATTTTGTTCCTATTTAATTTCAAAAGTAAAAATCTTACATTGTTCATATTACATGTTTAAGACAACTTAATATGAATGAGCACAATCAGTGCAATATTTTCCCTGAACAAATTCGCAATCTCCTAAAGTGTGTTATGCGAGGTGGTTTATATGGCAACGCCGTCTTTTCACCAATTACCTCGATTGCATTATTTACAAGTTGGGTATGGCAACGTCTCCTCAAAAACATCTTGTTTTCATTCAGGCAACTAGTCGTTCATCGCCACAATCGTGCGTACGAACGTATATTGCTCCTATATTTGACATTTGTATAGAGAGCGGTAAGAGATATTTTCGTGAGCTGTAATCAATTGTTTTTATTTTCGTAATAATGTAATTAAAATAAATAAGCAAAGGTAAATTCGTAGACATGTACAAGGTGTAAAATGTAATCAGCTATTTTATTCGTCCGCAATTTGTACAAAGGTCTTATTTTTTGTAAGCGTGTATAAAGCGTTTTCAACATTAAATTTCCTAATTCGTACGCAATTTCCAATTTTGATTCTTAAACACAAATTATCAAATATACTATACAGTGTAAAAAAAACTATTTTTTACTGTAAATAGAAGTTTCCTTTTTATTTCCTGTATAATCGTGAAATGCATTTTTTTATTTCCTGTAACCTGTACCCTTTGTATAAGCGCTAAACAACATTCTTAGCGTCACGGTAAAATCTTGAAAAAAAACTAATAATTTTATTTTTCTATCCAAAAAATCATGAGAGTGCTTTTCAACTTGAATAAAAGATGATTATATTTATTCACTGTATCTAGGCAACCTTCTCATGATGCAGAGTAAACATACCTTGAAGGATTTAAGGCATAACTGAAAACTGTTGGTGCAGGGAATGCTGGGTATTTCATACGCTGTCACACATTCACTCTTTATTTTTGAAATCAGTGCACTGAAATTTAACTGTATTAATGATATAATGATTTTGGTATTCTGTTTAAGATTACTGTGGAACGTTAGAATATTTTATGTACCGGTATTGTAACTTGCATGCATTATGTGACGTCGTTGTAAAAAAAATGGACTTTAGCAGTTTTGAGCGCCTTTAATTTTTTGGTTTAACGTTATTGCCATCTAAGCAAACCGCTGCACCGATGCATTGCATAACGCATCACCTCGACTGAAACGGCATTTACAGTGGGACTCACGGAGTTGATTACTTCGCGGTATACAACCCAACATTGATTTTGAATTAACCCCTAAACTATCGGTAACCGATTATTGATTAAAGTTCTGATCGATAATATGTGTCATATTTCAACACACTACCATTCATTTTCATAGTTCTGCATCAAATTACAATGTCACTTCGATACAGATGTTTCATATTCACACGAGTTGGTTCAGTTACGTGCCTCGTCATATATACCAACAAATCAAACATAAACCAGTGTGTATGGGTCGATTACATTAAGAGAAATATATTGCTTGGTCACGAATCAAATGAAAATGAGTCTGAAACTTAACACGGTTCTACGAAAACGTGGCCTCAGACACGCGGATTGATAGTGAAATAAATAGCGGCAAATGTTCTTTTGATTGGGGTAGACCGGTCGCATGGTGTCTTCCTTGGCTTCTTGGTGGACAATAAAACTGAATATAACTTTATGCGGTATTTATTCGAATGAACGTAACCCACAAATATTTACGGTGAAAGAACCGATCCCTGGTTCCTTCATTCACATCACAGCATGATTTTTTTGTAAATGTTATTTTGTTACTCGAGTTAATAATAACTGCACTGAATCTCGGTAATCTTATAGATATGGTTCAGATTGAGTCAATAAGTTCATGTGGTTAAAATGTGGCCTCATATATATGCAATGCTTGCTAAAAATATTTATAAAAGCGTTCGTTGCCAAATGCTGAACAAGAAAATACAAGCTTACTATTTAGTAAAAAAACGATATACGCTTTATGTGGGTAGCACAAAGCGCACCAAAACGAATATAATTTTATTTTTCCATTCAGCTGTTTGAAAATGTTTGAATGGGACCGTGCACGTGGTTAGGTGTGAATTGAAATAAGCAATCATGTGCAAGCGTATTAACTATAAAAACGATTTGACAGAAAGAGCATAACGAATTCACAAAATTGTCACAATATCACAAGTAAATAGTGCATGTGTATTGGTATAAATGCTAAGTTCCCAGTAACACCATTCTAAATAGAATTTTGTATTTGTCGAATAAATACTATATTTTATCATCTAGATGAGCATATGTCCCAGATCGAAGTTACAATGGGTCAAACAATATAAACAGTTACATGAAATGTGTATGTTTCTTTATTTCACCAGTTCCAGTGATCGGATTGATGTACAAGAACGCCATGCGGATGAATACATTTAGAGTACATCTGTGGGTGACATGGTCTTTGGTAATTGTTGTTTCTGTGACTTTGATTCTGATATCGACGTGGTTATCAGAGAAGTCAGGTCATCTCTCACGTGACCCCGTCGCTCATCATCAGGACGTACATATCAACATGGACAGACGGGACATGAACGTTCGTCTCTTCTGTCAACAAATATGGAGCAGTCACAAACATGTAAATGTAAACAATGTTGCAACATCCAATACAAAAAGTTCGTGTTCGTGCGGCAACGATTCATTTACGATTGCGAACCAACCAGTGTTGCCGTGGCAACGAAAGGCATACGAATTGTGGGAGAATGAATATAGAGAGACGGAGGAACCAATCGTGTTCTGTCCCGCCCTGTCACCTTTTGGATACATAGGAGGCGGGATTACAGTGGAACCAGGAAAGTATGCGAACATCCGGGGACTGTATATACACCCGACGGCATTAACATGTTTCCATGGCAACTATGACAGTGACACTGTTTTACTGACAATCACTTGTAGTCGTGGCGTTGGTACCATGTTCGTTTCATCATCTCTACAGTACTCAAAATTTCTGTTCATTAGTGGAAACAACACGAATCAACTACTTGTAATAACCAGTTTCCATGGCAACCATGAACTAATTAATAGTACCAACGAGTTCAACGTCTTACTGAACAATATTTTCTATCAAAATGTATATTACGATATTTTCAGACGTGATTTGATTCGAATAACGCTTAAGAATATAACGGTGGAAATCAATGTTTTGATCAGAAGGCAACCTCTGCCTCGTCTCTATGACGTAAGAGATAATAAGGATATATCGTCCATGGTAACCATAGTTACCAAGACGTTTGAACGCTACAAAGCTGTCAATAATCTCATTCGCAGCATTAGAGTGTACTATCCCAATATCACCATAGTGATCGCCGATGACTCCGAATTTCCAAAACACATCCATGGTCAAAAAATTAAACAATTCGTAATGCCATTTGCAGAGGGGTGGTTTGCTGGTAGGAATCTGGCATTAAGCCAAGTTCGCACCAAATACTTTCTGTGGGTAGATGACGACTTCGAGTTCACCGATGGAACCAATTTGGAACTTTTTGTGGAGAAGCTGGACGACAAAAATGAGAAACTCGACATCGTCGCCGGAATTTTCGAAAAATCTCACGGACAAATTTCTGTCGATTCTTATTTCCAAATTTTCGATATTTCAAAAAGTGAAAACTTCGGGAGTTGCCTTGTTCGCAAAAGAGGCGCACATAGAAAACTTTCTTATAAAAAATTTCCGCAATGTTACATGACCGACGTTGTGCTCAATTTTTTCATGGGTAAGACACAGTCTGTGAGAAAAATCGGGTTTGATCCCGAATTTCAGCGAGTTGCGCATTCCGAGTTTTTTATTGACGCTTTGGGTGAGCTACGCATAGCAGTTTGCTTAGACGTGAGTATCAAACATAAACCCGTGAAAACATCTAAGTATAATTTGTACAGATCACGAGATATAGACCCACAGGACAAATACAGAAATATACAACATGTACTTTTTAAGAACAATCTGCAGTGTTATAAACTGTATTAGTTGCCGTTATTATAAAGCAAAATATTCATAATCTGTGTCATGATTGGTCATTGCGAGTCACGTGGGTTTATATGTAAACATGAACTATTCTAAAGGATAACTCCACGTTTTGTTGTTTTTAATAACAATGAATTGACTGACTTGATACTTATTTAGTGCAGCGTCAGTTGCGCTGATTTTCTTTTTATTTTCAGTTATTGCAGCATTACAGATCAAATTGACAAATTATACAAATAATATAGCTGCCCACCACTAAGTGTTTCCAAATTGCCTCATCAAATGTATTTGTTGAATCAGGTCACAGCAGAAGTGTATGTTCTCATGGCAAGTTTACTATCCGCATTTATATGTATACCAGTATTATACGTTGGGTCGATGTGATGAATTGAATTTCAAGCGTTCCATCACAACAGACAGATTGTCTCTGAGCTTACCACATCTATAGTGATTGAAGCACCATGCATCATAAGAAATAGGTCAGGATGTGTGTTAGTTATTGAGCACATTCTTCTATAAGCTGTTAAAAAATGTGGCAGGTGAAAACTATCGATTTTTTGTGCGACATGTAGGTCCTATTTTTTGTGAGTTGTTCAGGAAAGTTATGATATTAGCAGAATTTCTCGTATTTGCATCGAAACGTCGGTTGTTGTGAAGTTTCCACATACATGCGTAAAAGAAACCCTTGACTGAAGTGTGATAGATAATAAACTTAGCATTATTGTTGAACGAACGACTCGCCCAACATTGATACTTTCGGGGGTACACTATAGTCTGCCCCCTTTTCTCGTGATGTATAAGAAGGGTAAATATACCCATTTCAAATTAATCGAAGACATGTTATGTTGCTAAGTACTGTAAAATATGTCTTTTTCGCGAGCATGTCTTTTTAGCGAATTTAGTGAGAGCTGATTCGTTAATTCAAGATGTCGCTAATGACTTTATTATAAATTCAAAATGGGCAAGGATTGCGGATTTTTATACAGTAATCCGGAACGTAAAAATCTGGGGCGCTTCCTAATTACACTTGACAGTTTTTCTTTGTTTTTATGGAGGTGATAACTGCGCAAGTGTTTTGGCACGCGACAGACAAGTATTGTGGAAACAGGAAATCAACAATGACAAGAGAGATTCGCTAAATCAACATTTCGCTATTACGTCATTTTACCACAATTCCCTAAAATTGCATTTCGCTTTTTCAACATGTTTTACAGTATATGCTTATTGCAATATATTAATATACACCATTAGTACGCATGTTTTCGTAGTTTAGAAAAAAGAACTGTTCAAACAGGGGCTGCGATCAGAAATGATCACTTTAATAAATTATCATGGAGCGAGTGTGTTGGTCATTGAATGGCACTTTGTCCCGTTTATAATTACGTCACTGAACTCTTTCGTGAATCTCAATCAAGCCAAGGAATTCGCAGTTTCTCTTTCTGCCTCGACTAAATAAGCCACGGGAACGGACATGAAATTGGGCTTACAGGGCTGTATATATCTTGTTGAATGGTTTCAATGACTCCGGGTTCGTACTGCGCCGTCGAACTTTAGAAAATAGCGCCACCACCGTTCGTTCTAGCGTTTAGGTAACATAAACGTTGTTGAACAGTCCCACAGTCCCTTGTCCACGCGGCGTAGTACAAGTTTAGGATAGTCGTGGCGGCGTAGCGTTACACATGGCGTTAAACTCTTCTTTGGCGGTCATTTAAGATCGAAAAATGGTCAAAATGCATGAATTTGATGTTGATTTCGGGATCCAACTTCCATTTCGAACTGTACAAACGAACGTTGATTACTTTTCACAGGTCACCACTGGGTGGCGTTGACTCCTTCTCAAGTGAAATGGCGGAAATCGGGCAAGAAAATCTTGATTTAATAGAAAAATGTCCAGCAGAGTTAATATCGTCGGTAAGTAATGAACTGAAACATTCAATACGTTCTAGATAGCAACGGGAAACGTTGAATGTTGTAACGTATGCATTGTAAATACTCAGAACAACCAATAGTTCGTAGTCTGTATAACTATATACGTTGGGTGGGCGTGCGCTAGCCTTGTGTACAGTGCAGGAAATTAACGTTAATAAGCTCGAAATCAGAAGGACCGATGAAGTACCCAAGCCCTGATTTTTGGTTATCCCCCATACTGGTATTCGCGCAGCTTCATTTTCAGTTTTTTTTTTTTTTTTTATCTACTGTTATCCACAGTATTTTTATAATGACACAAAATTTCCATGAGATCGTTTTTTAATTTGAAATATTTCGTACCTCAAAATTATGCGGAGTAAAGCTCAGGCGAACGATGTATTTTTTAAAGTTTTACCTGGCATAGATTTCTACATGACATTTTAACATTTTTTGAAAAATTGTTATGCCCTTGCAATGGAATACTTGTAAATCTCGACCAAATATATCTATAGAGTCTGATATGCATCAAAGTGTCAGTACAATATTGCAGATATTGTCAATTTTATTCATTGATTTACTCAAATTTGACGATTTCGCAGAAATACATTTGGGTGTGGGGTATTTTATTTCAAACAGACATTCGGTTTTTAATGAATCTTTTTGACAGTCAATAATGTGGGCTGACTAATTTAAGATGAATCTGGTACTCTTGTTGGTTGAAAAATCATAAATGATGCACATCATATGCACAATGTAGCTGAGTAGCTACTGTTCAGGCATGTTTAGATTATATCTCCCATTGATACCTGCAAAAGATTAAATTAAAAAAGGGATTGTAATTTGTCTCTCCATATAAACCATATATCTCCATGTAGGACAGTTTTTACTGTAAAACTGCAGGCCCATGGCATTGTTTTTGTATAGATCAAACCTCTTGGTTTTCAAAGCTAACAGTCCTACACAAAATTAGTTTTTCTTGGACTGACAAACTGACAGAAAGACTGACAGAGAGACACTTTTCTCTCAAGCTGGCGACATATGTGACATTTCTCCCAGGGTCCCCGGGTCGCTTGACAAAACTAATTTCAATAGATAGCATCCTCTGGAGACCTGGACGTAATCTCAGGGCCAACTTTTCACTTGCAAGTAAAATAATGATGCGTAGACAAAAGATTGATAGTTACAGGTATTACCACTTTAAACATGATTCAACTGGATTATGTTTTTTTTTATATATATACATGTGTATTTAGAAAACTGTTATACATAATATAAAACAAAAATTGAGTAACTCTGTAATGAATTATTGTTTTCATATTGTAGTTTATTCACCAAGTGATTGACGGTGTATGCGGCCAAACTCAGCCCAGATTTCAGGATTACAGCAAAGTATGGAGCATAGAGCAATGGTATACCGTGGTAGATTGCACAGAGAGATTATTTAAATCTGCAGTTAAAAGTAATACATCAAAACAACAGGTACATTATATACTTAAAGTGTTGTCACAAAAAAGTTTGTTCACTTTATCATATGAAGGTTTTTATACAATTTAATATCATTTAGCTTCATATCTGTGAAATATTCACTACTACAACATTTACTCTGAATTTGTGAAAATTGTTTCTACACTATATTTTAGGCATCTGTGAATGTTTTTATTATTTAAAATTTCAATTTCAAATGACAGTTGAAAACAACCATTTATATGATGCCTTTGCTGATGAAATTTTTCATATGGAAATTCTCAATAGTCAGTATGGCCATTCAACAATTTCCCAGCAACCTGAAAATGGTTATCTTTTACAATACAAATATTTCCTGCTAAACTGTAGTGACAATACCAGTACTAATACTATTTAAAATATATAACGGTGAAAGACTAATCTGAAGCATGTTTCGCATAAATAGGTTGTGGTTAAAAAAAATCAGAGACTCATGGTTAATGAATGTTACCAAATGGCTCTTCTCTTAACATACCTTATTGTACTACCGCCGCACATAGCAACAATGCTAACTGACTGGAAAATGTGCTTGCTAGTGCACTACATTAGTGTTTGAATGCTACATATTACGATAGTGATAAGGGTATAATACACTGTAGTAAACATACCCATGTTTGTATCTACAGATATGTATAAATCTAACTATTTTCATTTGTGATGATTGAATTGGTACGGTATATACCATCTTCATTCTGCAAAGTGCTCAAGTATAATAAACAACAGCCGATTATGGCAGATGCCAAAAAACAGTAATCAAATCACTCGTGTATGGCTTAATATTTTCATATATACCTAATACTTTATTTTATACGTAAATAATTGTCCTACGGTGGTAATATTTTTCAAAACAAAACTGAAGATGAATCTAAACCTCAAAGTTCCCACTTTATCATGGTCTACTGCATTAGTCCACCAAATTTTTGAGTGAGGTCACGACACAATTCATAATATTTGTAACTTTAATATCAATATATAGTTTATCAATATTCAGGCTGGTGAAATGACAGATTGGGTGAGTGTGAGATTGATATATTGTAAAATGACTAATTTTCACTGGGTATAAATTTTGCTGATTTACCATTCCAGGTACATTCAGTGGGTTTTAAATTCACGGTTTTATCATTTAAATAATGTGTTCTATGCTAAATTTTACATATTCACTGGGTTTTAATTTAGCTCATTTTCCAGTCAGCGAAATAAGCAAAATTAAAACCCAGTGAATAATTAATCCTTTTACAGTATTTATTTTGTTTTGTTTTCTCAGTTTACCAAACATATAGAAGGATTATCCAAAGACCGTCAACAGAGTATCATAGACTGTTACAGTGTTAGGTCAAATGATATTAGAAGAACACTCGTACAGAATACTACCGCCATTTCACAGGCACAGATGACAGATTTTGACTGGAAACTTAAGGTACACAATATCAAATACTGTAAAATACTTTATTTTCTCTGGAATTAATTTTCACTGAAAAGACTTTGTATGGAATTTATTTTCACTTATTTTTGATGAATTGAATGTAAAATATATGGAAAAAAGGTATATTTGCTGGATTTTTATTTTCACTGAATCATTCCTTCAGCGAAAATAGCAAAAATTAATTCTAAGCGAAAATAAAGTATTTTACAGTAGTGTGTTTCGATTAACATCATTAAAGCCTTAGGTAAAAAAAAAAAGTTTAGCTTCTTGTTCGAAGGGAAAATTAAAAAATGTTATGTAAGATTTGAAGTATTAATATCCAGTTCCAGTTTCAATACATGTATTGAATATTAAACATATCTGTCTCACAAGACATGGAATATATGCATGCTCCATATTTCCTTATCTTATAATTTTGGGATACATATGCTCATCTGTTTGTTAAACAGTTGATTTCAAGATGGCTGACTGGTGGCTATTTTAGTGCTCAAATACAATCAAAATAAAATTCTGATTTCGGTCATGCATTAACAGGTTTAGTTCTAACTTGGTACGTACATTGAGCATCATAGAACCTTTATCAAACAGTCAGCTGGCACACACGTGATAATAAAGTAAATGCGATATTTACTATATGGGGGCCGCCATCTTGAATGCGGCATAAAACTAAATAAGAGACAAGTTGTGAAACACGTTTTTCAGATTCCTAAAAATCAGGACAAAAATGCCAATCTTTCACAGAAATACGATAGGTAATATTGAGCCAACCGATAACAAAATTCAGTCGAATTCGTCGTTTTTGTGTGGAAAAATCCCTTAAAATACAAACACCTAATTACACGAAGAACATAGAACATTGAAACCAACAATTTTCATTCCAACTCAGCAGCCAATCAGCGACGGTCTTACAGTTAGATGACAAATTTGGTTTCACAACTTGTCTCTTATTTAGTTTTATGCCGTATTCAAGATGGTGGCCCCCATATAGTAAATTTATTTTATTATCTCGAGTGCGCCAGCTGACTGTGCTTTATCACTGTACAAATCTGATTCAAATTGGCTGACTGTCAGCCATTTGGTTTAAGAATTGATGTCCATATCTTGAATATGCATTGATTGATTGTGATCAACTTTTACAGCTTAATTTGCATATTAAGTATATTCTGCAATTCATCAGCGCCACCAAGTGGGGGAGATAGGGTCCATACCAGGGTGTGGAGTTTTTGATAATTCTAAGTTAAAGTGGAGCATTCTATGGCTTCCTTGGGATCAAAATTACTATCAGACAGGTCACAGTTGAAGACTGTGACCACATATGACCCCTGGTCAATCAGATTTTTATGGTTTTCCAGAGGATCTGCTTCCAAAGGTAAGGGGACACATGGCCATGGCATGAGGGCTCTGCGCCCCTGTTCCCTTGTTTAAAAAATCCCTGTCAGTATTCATTTCAGTTTTGTTTGCTATTGCACAACATGGACTGTGTTACATGTATGTCAATGAGCTCTAATAATCCTCGGCTTACAGTGGTGATTATATGATTGTGTAATTTTAGCTTGTGATGTCCAGTGATAAAATAGCATCAGTACAAGAGCCACTGGTGTCAGTTGATTTAGACTTACAGGAAGAGAAAGGACAGAAAGTAGTGTCACTTGAAATGAACCAAACTGAGCTGAAAAAAATGATCACTTCATTGGAAGCAGCAAATAAGGTTAGTGTTTATAAGTAAGGTATGTTGGAGTTTATAACAGTGTTTTTGATTGGCTACACAACCATAAGATATATTTTCCAACCAATCAGTGAAATGATTGCTTTCCTCAGATGGCTTAATTAATCATCTGATGGGAAATACTGTTCCAGTCATATTATATTATTCAAAATTTGTAATTTTGTAACTGTAAACAATCTGAGGCCTAATCTGAGCATTGAACGCTTCACCCATCATCACTCTGCAGTAGGAGTATATATAAAATGGTTATAGTAGCGTTGTGTTCCATGATCAACTTGTTCAGATAACCAGTTCTTATAGCAAGATGAGTTGAAAACTTGCAAACCACATGATATCACTTTTTCCATGGATACATCCACAATTTAAATTTTCATAATAATACGTGTTTATTAAATTATATACAAATAGGTTACATGTATTTTGTTGTGTGTTCCAAATTTTAGTTAGAGGTTATAAACGGCATACCGCTTATACCCTTATTATAATACGACAACGTTGAATATATAATGGAAATAAGGCATCTTTCCGAAACGAAGTGTGGGGAGCGATGAATAACCACATTCTGGGGCCTCGTCATACACTCTTTCAATAGAAATCACTCCTAGACACGTTCGCACAGGCATGTAATTCCAAGAGAAAACGATAAAACAGATTATTATAAAATTGCAAATGTTCAAGTTTATTACCTAAAATACATCATCAATAAATAGAAAAGGTTTATACAAATATAAAACAGGACAAATATGAATCGACATTATAAATATCGCGGATTAATACATTAACATTTGTTAAGAGTGGTAAATTTGAACATGGTGGTTTGAAATTTGTCAAGTTGTCGTTTTCAAGGATTTTAGTTTGGTGTTGGAGAAATATAATTGTTAGTATACACATATACAGAGCCTTCGATATTGCAGTTTTTGAACAGGTTTTCTGTGGCGACTGAGCTTGAGCATACCCTTTCACTTGTGGAGATAATTCTCTGACACTGTACTTGAGCCATGCCCGATGTTGACGGCCAAACGACGCTGGAACTGGGGGCCATCGGAAGGTAATTGTTACCATGCTCATCGACGGTAGGAACACCGACTTTTGACATTAAAATGTCACTACACTGACGTTTTTGTTCACCAGACCTGTCGCGACAGTAACTCCTGATACTCCCTTCATTCCAATGGCCACTTAAATTCATGATTATCCATGTTGGTATTCCAGCGTCGTTCAATGATTTTATAGTGGTTGCTCTCACACAGTGGTTAGTGTACAGCATGCTCAACTCTGGGGCCCACTGATATTTTTTTTATCATTTCCCCCAAAGTATTGTGACCCAAAGGAGCGTTTGTATAACAAGTTGTTTTCCTTCCTGGAAAGTTACTAGGCCGCTGGAAAAAAGCATTATTGCTTGGGTGAAGCTTACTAGTATAATTTAGAATGGCCGTAACAGGACAAAGTGGGAAGTCTGTTTTGTACATCTGTTTCTCAGATTCAAAGTCATCCTTCAAATCCCCAGGATGGTTTTTGGTTGCTTCCAAATAGGCCAAAGTGATATAATCCCGTCCCCTGTCATCTTTCTTTAAAACAAAAGTCTTTGTGTAAATCCCGAAGACCCTCCCGTCTCCTTCGGCAAAAGAAAAACTCTACATAAAACCACACCAAACGTAAAAGGGACACCGGGTTACGGTCGGACAGTGTCCGGCTGGTAAACATCTTACTCATGTCTGCCGCACTGATAACCGTTTTGTGTTGGATTTTATCTTTCCCTTCCCGCTTCAAACTTTTCACTTTCCCTATAAATACATTATTGGCAGTTTGGAATTCCCGAGTGTTGATAATGTTAACGGGGCAATTGAATGGAACATTGGTTATGTGGCGATGTATTCTTTCATGTCTCTAGCCCTGACCTCGGCATAAAAATGCTTCAATATTTTTGTCAGCTCTTGCATTTCCACCATTTCGAAGGCTGGGTCGATTTTCCGTTCAGAACACCACACTATACAAAAAAAAACATAATTTTAGTACGGAAATTGGGTCATCATGGGGGTCAAACGTTCAACGCATTGTTTACAAACAATGAAAATGGCGGCATTTGGCGGTACAAACTATAGTTACGATATGTTATTTTTTTTTAATTTTGACTTTTATCACACTTACATTTGAGTAATTTCACACCCCATTTTGTGGAGGTGTTAGTATTCACTTCATTTTTCTTTGCTGCCAAGTTGTCGACCATTTCTTCAGAAAATTCTGGGAATCTGTAGCATCAATTTCATCCAGCTGGTCCCATTTGAAATTAAGATCAAAATTGATCTGAGGCTCGTCGTCTGACATAATTACTATGTTCTGAAAATGCCGCTAGTGACTTGCAGACGACAATATTTATCATATTTCGATCCAGTTTATGTTTTATTAATTATTCATCAAACAGGGCCAGATATGAACCCTGGCTTCAGCCAATCAGATGGCTAGATTCACACTGGTCATATTATAATATTAAATAGTTTGACCATCTGACTTCATTTTACTTAGCACATAATACAAAATTACTGCAAGTTGCATGACTGTGAACCCAATTAAAACTCATGGTAGTATAGTGTACAGAAATGTATTTCTACTAACTTGCTGTTAAATCGATGATACACATTATAATGTCTCTGTACATGTTTTTATAATCACTTCATGTTTCTATTTTCACAGGCTGTTCTACAATTGAAGTCATAGCAGTTGTTGTGTCAACGTATTCATCCTAATGTACATGTGGCCAGTGAATACAACCCATGGATTTCATTTCCATTATATGTTACAGAAAATTGAATTTTACCCATAAGCATGTTTTGTTAAATGTAAAGTAAATACCCTTTATGTAAATTGTGTCTAGAAGTTATACCTTGAACAATTTTCATGTAAGCATATCAACCAAATGATTTGTTTGTCACAAAGACTAAACAGTGCTTAGTAAGATGAATGGCATACAAGTAAACTCTGAGAAATTGTTTCAAAGCCACTTCATTTCTGCTATTAAGTAACCTAAAACAAAATATTTTGCATTTTACAGTTTTTCTTGTGAAGTATTTTAGATATTTGAACATGGCAATTGTTACTCCTAAAATATCATGAACAAAACATTTACTCCCAATGCCTGAAAGAAAAAAAGAAAAGAGAAAAAGGGTTTCTGGTCAGCAAGCACAGCGCCCTCTGTTGACAAAGTAGTAAAACATACAAAATTTATTTGGGTCAAGACATTTTTTTAGTAGGCCTAACATGTTTTCATCTCAGTATTCTCTTAAATTCTGAACCATGACGTCAAGCCAAGCTGCACTTTCAGATAATTAAATTATTGTGGTTGTAGGTCATGTCCAGCTTGTGAGTAATATTGAGAATTCTTCCCTGTTTGGAATTAATCTGATAATTGTCGCGATTTCAACAAATTTACGTTAGTCACTACGAAAATTTGGTAAGGTCTATACAATTGTAAACTAATATTTTTAAGAAAAATGTCTATTTTGTTTCTGGTTATATCAATAAATTTGTCGCATAATATTTCAAAGAGCCCAATAAGTTTTTATCAGTGACCTTATAGTGCAAGTTTGAGTACAGAAATCTCTGGTGACACACTTTGCGTATGAACACAAGTGTGTGAGTTACAGAGACGAATACGCGTCTGAGCTAATGGGTGCAAGTGACGTGTATAATACGTTGTTTATAAAGAGTTTATTCACAGTATTAGTATGGGCAATCACACATCACGTTTTGACATCGTATACATAATAAATATAATATTGTAAACAAAATTTGTAGTTTATGTTTATTGCATTTTATGGTGTTTAATATACAATAGTATACAAATATTATTTTCTGATCTGTATTGACTTGTGGAATGTACACATACAATACAAACAGTGTGGTCTATGTAATTGAGGATCATTCTATCTTAACACATTTCTGTTCGAGGTTTGCATGAAAAAATTCGAATATCAATGACATTTAAAAAAATAATAAGCCAAATCCCGTATTTTTCGTTTTTCGTCTTGTCACCCTGTGCAGTACGTCGGTTCACAGATGTGTATGTTGTAGCGCCCTCAATATGAATGCACTAGTTTCAAACACTTCGTTTATATTAGTTTTGTATGTCGTAAACCTTCAAGGCCACGCAGTCTCATGGTGGGAAAGTACGCGCGTAGCTAGGCACTATTAAAGTAATATTCGGGTCACCCTGTTGGACACTCGACATACCATAGGTTGAATTTTTTTTTTTAAATTAATTGTTCAATTCGAGGCGCAAACATCGTTATGCACACTGTATGTATATCCAAAAAGATGTATTAGTTATTGGGAGTTATGGTAGTATACAGTTACGAGACGTAACTACAAATATTTAATTTTCCCTTCAACTTCCGTGTAGTCATAATCTACCTTGGGGTTTACGGTACTTGTATAACAGCTCTCCTTGCTTAACAAAAACAAAACATGCACGTACATGTCTTGAGGGCAGTATGCCAAACACTTCATACTCTCGAATGAGTGGCATAAATCCGCACAGGACAATGGATGTTTGTGACAGCATGGTATTTTTACTAGATTAATCATCACTGATAAGGGAATTTCCCGGGTTTTTCCCATCACAACTTCCTCCTTTAATAGTCCCAGGCACGCGGAATTCCAGGTAATTCAACGTGTTTTGCTTAGTTAATGTGTGCATTGTGCGACACCTCACAGATGTACCCATTGTGTTTCCGTGACCCCGTATATTGTCTGACCTACAGGCATCGATTGTTTACAGTCAAGCGCTGCATTTCCTCTTGCAAACATGGCTGCCATGTTCAGGCAGTAGACAGAAAATTACCGTAACTAGTCGAATTTGCATATCCAAGGGACGATACAATCGGGTTGCCGCCGCGGGGTGACTCATCGCGACACTCAGCAACATGGCGGTACCACGGGAGAAAATAATTACAGGTATGTAATGTTCAAACTCAGACAACCAACCCATATAGTCTACATGAACGCATATACAATATGTCTGCTCTAAGGTTTATGTCATTAGTAAACACTACGACAACAGCATGTAATACCCAATTTTGTATATTTCATATATTCAACATTAAACATGTCCCCCTTTTCGAGGTATTGTACGTGTCATAGGAAAGGGGGGAGTGACTATGCAAGGACAGATCCTATATATTGCTGTGATATAACCGTTACCACATCAACTTAAATCAAAGAGACTAGAAAATACATAATATATCGAAAATATTTTCTCGTGTCTTTGCTTAAATCAACGTTTAATTTGAATTCATAGACAATTTCTGCTGCCTCAGAGTTCGGGGCTCGTTCCAGTCCAATAATAGAAATTAACAAAAAATAAGGAAGAATACTACTGTAAAAACATTTATTTTCACTAATATTTAATTTCACTGTCATGAGTTATTTTACATATTCACGTGGATTTAATTCAGCGGATTTTACTTATCGGCGAAAATGTCAAAATTAAAAACCCGTGAATAATTAATGCTTTTACAGTAGCGGATTCAAAATGAAATGCTACATAATGAACTCGTATGCAAACCTAAACCTATTTTTTTTTTTGGCTTTATAATATTCGTAGTGTACGAGTTCGATTTAATTTTCATTGTATGGATTTATTATTCTGATAGGCTATACAAAATCTTATGTTTCACGATATCTACCTACCAGTGTATTGTATCATATCAATTTAATTCTTACATTTGTGTTCCTTTCTAACATAGCACCCAAGGCCCACACTGATAGTCCATGCCCATCGGAATCGTTAGCCTTATTCCATAAAGAATTCACAGATTTTAAAGAATGGAAGCAGACATTGAAATCGGTGCACGATTCCAGTAGGCGCTGCTTTGACAAACTGGTAGCAACATTACCCAACGCGGAGGAAGTACAAGGCACACTTATATCAGAGGAGGATTGGACTGCTCTGAGTCGCGTCTTGGAAAAGGACCCCACGGTACTTCTTCTTGGTTTGACGAACTGCGGTAAAAGCTCACTTGCTAATGAACTATTGGGAGGGAGAATTTTGCCAACAGCAGAAATACCCTGCACTTCACGCGTGGTACTTCTTGAGTACAGTGAAAATGAATACATTCAACTTCGAAACAGCGACAAAACAGTGACAAGAAAAACATCTCTTGATGGGGGAAAAAAACGTGTACCGAGAGATTTCATTGTTGTTTCTGAGGACGAACGAGCGCAAAGAGAAAAAGTCAAAACTGTGGTAGAAGTGGGTCTGAATAACGCCCTTCTGCAGAGTGGTGTAAAGCTGGTTGATGCTCCTGGAATGAGTGAAAACACAACACTCACAGAAATAGTGAGAGACTGTGTCAAAGGAGTATTGCAGCTCATTATCTATGTGCTGGATGGTAATAATGGCTTTCGACTAGAGGTAAGTAAATCATTTAATCAATTAATTAACTAGCTTAAAATATTGTTGAATATGTCAAAAGCTGTTTGGAGGGTCATGTATGCGACAAGGCCAAAATAAATAAATATGGTTTACTTGAGGATGCTCACTCACTGTTTCTAATTACTTGCATTCATATGTATATTTTCATGTTTTTAAAGTAATGGCGAAGTGAAATATTCATGGTCATAATATTTCTATGTTACTAGAAGACACTGTTTTGAATTAAAAATGCAAAATTAATAAATATAAGACTAATTAAACCTTTTTTCCTCTTGCCATAGGACCAGAGTGTATTGGGGTCCTTGTATGACATTGCCCCCGATCTCTCAATCTTCTATGTTTGTAACAAAATAGAAACGAACCTATCAGCGAGCAGAATGGACATGGCATCAGATGATGAAGACGAAGATGATGCATCAGAAAACCCTGAAGAGAAGAAATTGCGCGTGTTTCAATCACTGGTGGATTATGGTTTCATAAATAGCAGAGAAAAGATGAAGGATTGTCGTTTCTTTCATGGGATATCAACCAGAGAAATCAGTCGAGAAAGACGGCGTGGTGAGACTGGAAAGAATTACAGTAAAGCCTTTGATGTAATGAAGCAGGACTTTATGTTTTTTGCTGGTCAGATGTTACAGGGCCACATGTTACATGCCACTAACTCCCTCCTACAAGCACAGATACACTGTTTTGAATTCTTTATCTTAGATGCCCTACGTCAAGGTATCCCAAATGTCACAAAAGCAGAGGAGCTTGGGCTTATGATTGAAGAACTACGAAACAATAGGGCACGTCTACACAAAAATGCCAGGTCGGCGCTTGACGCAAGAAAGGAGCGCATTGGAAAAGTAATTAAGAATGCAATTGAGGGGAAACAAGACGAAATTCTACTGGCAGTTCAAAACATGAAGTACAGTCCGGTTAGAGTTGGGGAAACCGTTAATAGGAACGAAATGGTTGAACAGTTACAAAATCAAGTGCAACGCCTGGTAGTGATGAAGATTACACAAGCTGTCAAAGAAAGTTTGCAGCCTGAAATCGAGGCCCTGGTGCAAGAAATGACTAAAGCAGGTGATCAACAACTGGAGGTGTTGAACCAAACAGCATGGGAAGGTTTCCGCAACATATTGACTAGTTTGACTTTCTCTTTATCAGTACCCAAGTTCTCAGGATTATTAAATTTAACTAACATATCGTGGAGCGTTGCCCGTCAGTGGATGGTTAATGATCTTCCAAGTAAGATTTCTGCAAAGTGGAAAGGAGCAGTAGTCGATACCAAATGGAGGTATAAGATTGCCAAGGAAACAATGGAACGCTTGAATTGTAAGGAGATGACAGAAATTGTATGCAAAGAAATTAGGTCGAAGATAGACAAGTTTTTCAATGATCTTCACAAAGAAATCTGTCGCATTGAAACACTGAATAAAGCCAGCAAGATGCAGGAGGATAAGTCACGCAAAGTTGCTGCTGATATTGCAAAGGAGCTATGCCAAACTATCTGCAAAACGGAAGCTCTTATATACAGTTGCCGGCATGGTCGCCTGGTTTTAGAACCTGGTAAAATGCTTGGGCAAGGTTCTAGGAACCGTGTCTTTCTCATGAAAAAATGGCCATCCCTAGAACATAAGAGTGTTTCTGCAAGGATATCAAAAAATGGAGAAGCCATTGGAGAAGATGTTTCCATGCTGATAAAAATAAACAGGTAATCTTATAGTGGATGTTAATGTTTTTATTAGGAAACCATTATTATGTTCTGGTGGTCCAATGGTATTGATTGTGAAATTCTGATACCATGATTTCATATATTCGCAGAAGTTTACCATATCACCGAGGTATACTACCAGTGTTAGGTGTTGCTTTAGGGTCAGTAGACGGACTCACATCCACCGTTGTGATCACACCGAAAATAAAGTGGAATCTGTGGACGACAATGGCTGACAGTAGCCTTGCTAAACAGTCTCTCTCAAAACGGCTTCAGATGGGTGAACAAATAGCAGATGGATGCGAGTTTCTTTTGAAACATGGATTCCCGATATCTGACCTCCGTGTGACAAACATACTTGTAAGTATAAGACACGTACGTGTTCATTTTCAAATGAAAACAATGTAAAACATAGTGTTCATATATTCTTCCACTCATTTAATATAATTTAATTTGTAGGTGTCCCCCAAGGAGCCGAACAGAAAAAACTGGACTCTTATAATCAATATGTTGAAACCTAGGGATGACAGTGTACTTTATCCTGATGATAAATTACCCTTTCACATCGCACCAGAACGCTATGGATTTCCCAAGCGCAGTCGACGACGCAGCAGTGTTACAGACCACAAAGACATACAGCTAAATGGTCGACACCTTCAACGCAGTGCAAGTACAGACAGCCAATTAAGTGAACGGCGTGCTCGACGTAGTTTTGTTGATGCTGACTGTGGAGATGACCCAGCTAACGTGTATGCGTTTGGAATTTTGTTATGGTTGCTAGTACGTGGCACTTTTGTGCGGCCTTCCTATGCAGAAAACACGGACATAGATGCCATGAAAACAGCTGTCTGCATTGAGCAAAAACGTCCCGAGCTTGACTGGCTTGAGGCCAAGAGCGATAATTTAAATCATAAAGGCCTAGCTGATTTGCTTAAAATGTGTTGGTCTGAAAATTCAAGCGAACGGCCCTCGTGGACTGAGGTATCTTACCGTTTAGCGACAGTCAGAAATTCAATTTCCAGAAGGTCGACAAGAGTAACATCAGTATAGTTACTGAGATCGGTACAGATGGTTTAAATAATGTGTAACATTTCATGATAAGCAGTGCACGTGAGATTCATTAAAATACTTCGTACGTATTCAGTAGATATCACAGCATATGTATATAATAATGCCAAATATGGTCATGCAATTGCCAAGCTATAACATTACGTATATACACTAAGTATGTATACAAGTTTACACATTTCAAATATTATATGAAAGTTAATGTTATAGGATATAGTAGATAGTAGATAGAGTATATGAAAGTATAGAAAGATCTCGAATATTAGGATTACCAAATTCAATACTTGATGCGCGATTCGAATTCATCCTTACAATGACAGTGAGGGTCAAGGGGCAAGGGAAAATCACCACTACATGCAACACCATGTGTTTTGAGGTATCTGTTTTATACCTTGTTAGATACGAACAAGTTCGTTCCCTCAGACTCGTGTTTTTAACAACTGTTTATGGTTTATAATGTTTATAATCCAGTGAATAAATGTGACTGCTGATATTTAAAGTTTAATCAACATTGTTACCACCAACCAAGGTCCGGAGAGATATGATCATTGGCTCAACGTATAATGACAAAATGCATTCAATGTTGAAGAAGCATGATCTGTGTATTTTGTCTATTTTGTCGTATTTTTATCGATGCCAAACAGAGTTAAAACGGCATTCGTGTTAGCAAATGATCATCATATTAGGCTGTTCATGTTATGAATATGCGAAAAGTTTCTAAACAACAAAGAAAATAAATGTTTGGTCGACAACAAATCATATTGCAGGTATTTTTATTATTATAAATCTATATAATGTCACGTGATATAAACCATGTGTTTTACTCGTTCGCTACCATACGCTGCGTTATCTGGGGGTAAAGGTAAGTAACAATATGCGCTCGTCCCTTGCCACTAAACCACTCAGTGTCAAACTCGAATTCCGTGTATTAGAATACCAGGTGAAACATTGTAGGCAGAATGGTATTTGGTGATATATAGATAATCCATTGTCTAAATGAAACTCTTTTTTCTAACAGACAATACCCGTTCAGTAATATCACTGCGTATTCTTGGCAAACGCCGCCGTTTTTTTTTTGTTTTTTTTTGTTATAAAGATTGGAATATTTGGCTATAAATCTGAGCTCAGTATGACACGTATTGCCCCCCCCCTGTATGACTCATGCGTTAGCTGAAACATTGATACCCGCTTCGTAGAAAACAACTTCAATTTTCCTTTTAACAGCAAACTTGCTAAATGCAGGGACGAAACGAAAAGAATGATACACGTCCTATTTATTGGCCAGACGCTGTATTTTTTTGTTTCTTTCGACCCCATTTCGTTCACTTTCTTTGTCTTGATTTGCATTTTCAATTTTCTGATTGGACACTATTGTCGTTCTCAAAAATTTTGGCGCCTCGCTCTAATTATATATTCATCACGCCATCACACCTGTGAATGGCCGTCACGGTGAATAAACTATTTTGACGTAGCATTATGTTACTCAGAGCACGTTCCCAATTTCCCAGTAAATACTAATATTTATTAAATGATACAGGCTGCGAATTAACGCACGGGTTTTATTCACGCTATTTTCACGGGGTGTAGGACTATAGTCGTTTTGTGCCACTAAAATATCCACGAATAGCATAGAACTTCAACGCTTCGGCTTCTTTCCAACTCTTGTCAATCGTGACTGCAGTATTGTACCTTGTACCGGTTTTGTCGTAGCATAATTTCACTCAGTGCACGTCCCCAATTGCCCAGTAAATAAGCATATTTATCGAATGATAAAGACTGCGAATTAACACACGGGGTTTATTTTCGCGGGAGGTAGGACTAAAGTCGTTTTGTGCCACTAAAATAGCCACGAATATATAATAGAACTTATCCGAACGTCGGGACGATCGTACGAGTACTAGTCGTAAACAACCCACAACACATCCGTACATAACTATTACAAAGTAATGGGAGTAATAATAACAAAATCATTACTTTTATTCTCTAATTGCATTCACAGCAATGTAAGATTTCAGGTCGATGACCTGTTCAATTCTCCATTAAATAAACGTCATGCGACGCCGGCTAAAACTAGTCATCAGGGGATACACATTCGGATAACCATTCAGATGAACTAGTACTGACGCCAGGCAGTCAGTAATTTTCGAGCCCAGTGGCGTACGACAAAGTTGAACACGTCTACCAACGATTCCTTGGGAATTTGGTTTACATTCCAATTTATGATTTATATTCTCGGCTGGCAAAATATGGCGCATCACACCGTTAACACGCCTACCCTGCCCTACCCTACTCTACCAAATTATAATATCAATGTAGTTTGACCTCAGTGTACCACGCACTGTTAACATGCTTTGATGCCGCTGTATAACCCGCGTGTTAACTGAAGCCTTAATGCCGGATTCTTGGTAAACAACGATTCTTGGTAAACGACGTCAACTACTAGTACATTTCCTTTAGCAGTCAACATTCTCTAATGTACATTTCTGCTCATGCTTTGTGCATATTTCAGAATTCTTGCCTCTTGTTGAAAAATACAATATTGAAATGGCGTCAAAAAGTAGCTCGTCAAAGTAACTATAACAATCAATACTCAGAACTGTATAGTGTTTTTAGTACATTTATTTATGTCATTACATTACTCTAAAACATGTTGTATTCCAATATTAAAGATATCGCTGCCAATTAAACGTCGACGATTTTGTTGAAGAACGAGCATAAATTAATTTGGATTGTTAAGGACATTGAGAGGACAAATGAAAATCAAATCCAAACAAAGTCAAGATCGTACAAAGAAAAGTGGTATTATGAGATGACATATATCAATACATAATTTTATGTTACTGTCTATACACTTGTCACTGGATATCATTGGATATCACGCTGTGCTGGTAATTCCGGTATATAAAATGACTTTATGAATAGTAAATTACATTACGTCATGATTAGTGACGTCATTGAATCAAACAATATACAGCCAACTAATACTGTGTCCTACAAATTAAATTAGTTCAAGTTAGCCCATAATTATTTATCTTTCTTTACAAATTATATATGGTCATTCTACATTTTATTTTAGTCTTCCATGTTGTCAAGGACTAGCGTCTAGTTGTATAAAGTAAATATTATTATGAAATGATTTTAGATGGCATTTTAACAGATGCATTAATCCATGATTATGTAACTATAAGCGCAGCTCATTGGAGAACAAAGTTACAGGGCACGCCAAGTTTATTTTATTTGGATTAAGAATGACGAGAGACGGATCAGAACACGCATCTAATTATTTTGTAATTGCCGATGACAAATGTACCAAGGCCCAATCATCGATTTTTAACGTTATATACAAACATTAAACGTTACATATGCTATTTGGCAACAACGAGAAGGCGGGTCTCTTGACGGAAGAGCTAATTAATTCTAACAGTGCCTCAAAGGTAGATATGATATCCGAAACGCCCACCTCCCCATTTATACAGTCCATCGCCATCCTGCGAAATATATTAGTATATTCAGTTTGTGTCGCCATAGTGTGGGGTGATCCTCGACACATCTGCAGCCATTCAAGCTGAACCATCAACTGACCAATCTGTTCGACGTCATATCTGACACTGTCATCTGCAAGTACTTTAAACTTCCCCTTTGTAGTGTTAATACGTGCCCTGGTATCTCTAGTAACCTGTAATAACAATGCACAGGACACGGACTGTTACTATGGGAACAATCGTTTTGTGTCCACCATATTTTATACCACCTGTGTTGTTTTCTGGAAA